CCTCTAGAAGCTGAAAAGGCAATGAAAGATTCTCCCCTAGATCCTCCAGAAAGGAATGCAGCCCTGGCAACATGCTGAGTTTAGCCCAACGAGACCAGTGTTGGAGTTTCCTACCAATCAGTAAGATAAGAAATTGATATTGTTTAAAGCCGCTAGGTTTGTGGAAATTTGCTACTGAAGCAATAAAAACTAATACATACATAACAGAAATTAGCATTTTTCCTGCATTCAGGGTGGTGATGCTATTGCCAATCGTCCTATAAACATCAGTTTAAGCTACTCAAAGGCTGAGGAATAAAATGTTTGAGAGGAAGTGAGGGAGGCAGGTACAGATGAAAGCAGTTTTCCCTTGTCTAACACTCCCATATAGGAAGTGAGGGTGTCTTTACACCAAGACATCCAAGGTGGAAAGTAAGCATTGAACACAGTGAAAAAGGGAACACTAGGTACGGTTCCTGCAATGATCCTGGATAGGAATTCCTATGAAAACCGTCATCTATATCACATCCCCTAGAGGAGAATCCAGCACTGAACAGTCTTGCTCTCCTCCTGTGCTTCCTTCCCAATCTCTGCCACATGCCAGTCGGAGGCCAGCACTTTTCTCTTTCTCCCATTACCTTTAAAAAAGGCTCTCAAAGACGCTAAGGAAGTTCTATGCCACCAGGAACCTACTTCCTATAAAGCTCTCCTCAATTTGGCTTCACTATAGTGCTTGCCTGACCTCCTTGAGTTTAACTATTAGATGGAAGATGACAGGTAATTAAATGGATTCAATAAGAGGAAATAAAAAACTTTTATAATTCTAAAGTAATTATGTTTATTAATTGCTTAATTTTAAATATTTCACGTGCCTAATTGTTGAGATAATACAAAGGATATATAATAATAGCAATGCTCTGGTTAATGATAATTACAAACATTACTGCAAAGGACTTAATGTTCACTATTAACTCAGCACTTATTCCAACCATCAGTTGCACTCTTATTAACTTGAACTTCTGAGTCAGTTTCACTTTTTTTTTTTTTTTAATTGTGATTTGGGTGAAAGTTTACAGAGCAAATTCACTTTCCATACAGCAGTTCATATACACTTTGTCTCATGGTTGGCTACAATTTCCCACAATGCAACAGCTCCCCTCCCACTTCCTCTCCATAGTTACCTCTTTTCTGTCTCCTTCCCTCCCATGCACTCTTGCCCCTCGAGCTATCTCCCTGCACATACACACCCCTTCTATTCTCCCATGATTGATCTCTCCAAGGAGTGTATCTACCTAACGTAAATGTTCAGCTTATATGCCTGTCTTTTGTTTGGCTGGAAGAGTTTCAATGTCTTTCTTTGTGGTACCAACATCAGAGGGCTGTAGAGTTATAAAGCAACATCCATCAATATACAGAAAATCCTACGTATGGCACTATAATAATATTCGTCATCATCATTACCACGACACCTACCACTTACAAATGCTAGGTAATATTTTAAAATAATATAGTAATATCAGTCTTTCCATAAAAATACTACATTCTAACATCAGAATCTAATGTTAAGCTAATTACACTCTCCAAAGATTTGTTATTTGTTGTTTTAACACATAAAGCAACCTAAGAACACTTTTCAATACAATGCTTAGGAACTTGTGCTGCCTGATTGTGGATTTATAAAAATAGTAAGGGTCATAACTAACATTAAGAGAGAAAATGCAGTAACTTACCTATTACTACCACAGGCAAAGTCACAGATGAATCTTCAAGTAAAGAAGTTTCTTCAACTAATGGCATCGCTTTAACTTTTCGTCGCAAACTATCACCAAAATATTGCACTAAGGAATTAAAAATCTCTCCTTTGGTTTCAGAGTCACTATAGTTCCTTTAAAAAACATAATAAAAAGAAGTTAATAAAACCTTTAGAAAAATCAGTCTTTACTCAGACTTTTCTTTTAGGTCATAAATTCAATAGAAAAAGAAATCCTTCTGATTCACGCTTTTGAAACAGTAGCTTAGCTTCCTCGTCAATTACACCACTCGGAAGACCAAAAATCCTAAACAGCTTCAAAGCTCTTTTTTAGTACCTTATTGGCACACAAACCAAACCCAACCCACTGCCACTGAGTTAATTCTGACTCAGTGATCCTGTAGGACAGAGTAGAACTGCCCTATAGAGTTTCTAAGTTATATAAATCTTTATAGAAGCAGACTGTCTCATCTTTCTCTCAAGGACCAGCTGGTGGGTTTGAACCATCGATCTCTTGGTTAGCAACTGAATGTTTTGACCACTGCGCCACCAGAGCTTCTTCCTTGTATGCAAGTCCCTATTAAATAAGCTAGGAGCTCTGGTAGCATAGTGCCTAAGGCACTTGACTGCTAACCAGAAGGCTGGTGGTTCAAACCCACCAGCCATTCCTCGGAAGGAAGGTTGGGCAATCCTACTTCCGTAGTGATACTGCCTTGGAAACCCAAGGAGGGGTCGCTATGAGTCGGGGGCGACTCGACGGCAAATAACAACAACAACATTAAATAAGCTATCTTTAATGACCAAAGAAGGAGCTCTGGTGGTTTAGTGCCTAAGGCATGTGACTACTAACCAGAAGACTGGTGGTTCAAACCCACCAGCCACTCCTTGGAAAGGGGGTTGGGCAATTGACTTCCATAGAGATACTGCCTGGGAAACCCAAGGAGGGGTCGCGATGAGTCGTTATCAACTTGATGAAGATTTTTTTTTTTGGTATATGCCCTCAAAGCATCCTGATGATCCTTTGCAAATGACTGTGAAGCAAGGCATGTTAGCCGTTACTACTGTATTTGAGGAGTTCCTGGGTGGCATAGGAGCTCTGATAGTGTAGTGGTTAAGGCATCTGGCTGCTAACCAAAAGGGCAATGGTTCAAACCTACCAGCTGCTCCATGGAAGAAAGATGAGGCAGTCTGCTTCTGTAAAGACTTACAGCCTTGGAAACCCAATGGATACCGCTGTGAGTCAGAAATGACTTGATGGCAGTGAGTTTGGTTTGGGTGACATAAATGGTTAAATACTGGACTACTAGCTAAAGGGTGGCAGTTCAAACACACCCAGCAACACCAGAGAAGAGAGACTTAGTGATTTACTTCCGAAAGGTCACAGCCTTGAAACCCTACAGAGCAACACTGCACACATGGTGTTACCATGAGTCAGAACTGACGTGACAGAAATTAACCACAACAACCGTATTTCATTTTATAAGCAAAACTCAATGAGCCAAGATGCCTTGACCAGTTTCTTCATTCTACAAATAAATGCTGTGGAATGAATATATTCACATTCTTTAAGGACAAATCAAAACAGTACTCACTAGATCTAGCACTGGAAGAATGCTGATTTAAACTCCAACACTCGCTCAAAGTTACTGTCATGGATTGATTTGTGTCCCCCCAAGATGTATGTCAACCAGGCTAGGCCATGAATCCTACTATTGTCTGGTTGTCCTCCATTCTATGATCTGATGTATCCTCCATTTTGTTATGTTATAAATCCTAATTCTATATGTTAACAAGGCAGGATAAACCAAAAACAAAACCCACCGCCATAGAGTCGTATCCGACTCATAGTGACCCCTCCTTGGGTTTCCGAGGCAGCATCACTGCGGAAGTAGATTGCCCAACCTTCCTTCCAAGGAGTGGCTGGTGGGTTTGAACTGCCAGCCTTCTGGTCAGCAGTCAAGTGCCTTAGGCACTATGCTACCACAGCTCCTATGTGTATGTATATGTGTGTGTATGTATATGTGTGTGTGTATATATATATATATATATGTATGTGTATATATTCCCCCCACTGACATATATATATCCTTATGCCACCACACTGTCTTGATTACTATAGTTTTATATTAAATTTTGAAATTGGGATGTATGAGTCTTCCCACTTTATTCTTTTCAAGACTGTTTAGGCAATTCTGGGTCCCTTGTATTTCAACATGAATTTTAGGACCAACTGGTCAATTTCTACAAAAATGGTAACTGGGTTTATGAGTGATTGCACTAAATCTGTAGTTCAATTTGAGAAGTATTGACATCTTAAGAATATTATGTTATCTCATCCAAGAACATGAGATTTCTTTCCACTTATTTTGACCTTTCTTTCAACATTTTGTAGTTTTTTGTATACAAGTCGTACATTTCTTCTTTTAAATGTATTCCTAACTATATTAATTTCAATGCTACTATAAATGGAATTGTTTTCTTAATTTCATTTTCAGATTGTTTATTGCTAGCATATAGAAATAAAATTGACTATTGTATGTTTTTGTACACGGTAACTATCTAAATTTGTTAGTTCTAGTAAGTTTTCTTTGTCCCACCTTCACCCAAGTTAATGTGTGTCTACCATCTAGTTGGTGGTTTACCCTCCCTTCCTCACTTATTCCTAGTAACCAGAAAGAGTATTTCTTTTTTTTTATAAAACCTTTCACAATACTGAGGAACTCTGGTGGCACAGTGCCTAAGGCATTTGACTGCTAATCAAAAGGTTGGAGGTTCAAACACAACAGCTGCTCCACAGAAACAAGATGGAGCAATCTACTTCATAAAGATTTACTGCCTTGGAAACCCAAAGGGGGTTCCTGTGAGTTGAAATCAACTTGATGGCAGTGAGTTTGGTTTTGGTTTTCACCACAGTGAATTAGTGACTTTTTATAATAGTTGTCTCAAATAGTATTTGTCCTTTTGTGATTGACTAGTGCCTAAGGCATTTGACCGCTAATCAGAAGGCTGGCAGTTCAAACCCACCAGCCACTCCTTAGAAGGACTGCTGGGGAATCTACTTCTGTAGTGATACCGCTTCAGAAACCCAGGAGGGGACACTATGAGTCGGATCCGATTCAATGGCAGTGTGTTGTTGTTCTGTTAACTTCACTCAGCAAAATGGTCTTTAAGTTCATCTGTGTTATATTTCGTAGATTCATCATTGTGCTTTAATATTGCATAGTATTACACTGTGTGCATGTGCCATAGTTTGTTGCTCTATTCCTCCACTGATGGGCATTTAAGTTGCTTCTATCTTTTTGCTCTTGTGAATAGTGCTGTAATGAACATGGGTATGCATGTATCTATACACATCACAGCTCTTAATTCTCTAGGATCTATCTCTAATAGTGGGATTGTTAGATCATATGGTAATCTAGTAGGTTTCTTTTGGTAGCTTTGTGTGTGTGTGTGTGTGTGTGTGTGTGAGCCTCAATCAATTTGATGTGCACATCCCTTGATTCAAGTACAGTAAGTAGAGCCAAAGTTTTAGCTTTCCTAAATTCTCTAGGAGCTCTGGTAGTGTAGTGCCTAAGGCACCTGACTGCTAACCAGAAGGCTGGCGGTTTAAACCCACCAGCCACTCCTCAGAAGGAAGATGGGGCAATCTACTTTCGTAGTGATACTGCCCAAGAGGGGTCGCTATGAGTTGGGGCCGACTCAACGGCACATAACAACAACTAACAACAAATTCTCTATACAGTAAAGGTCATTTGTTCTGATTTTTTAGTAGCTATTGGTATAATCTGTGTGACAAACTATTTATAATAAACATGCACACTGTTTCATAAATTTAATACTAATTCAACACAGAGATCTGAACAACTCCAAATCAAGGCAAGTGAACAAAAAGTCTAGATCACTGATTTTACATAAAACAAAAATGAAACAAGAGCCTGTACAACTAGAAACTACTCTTTGCAAAAAATTGGAATCTGAATTACAAAGTTATACTGCCGTCAATGTCTCAGAGCATACGCATAGTATTTGTCACACAACTATAAAAAGTACAAATTTCCACTTGGGATAACCAATTTGATAAATATTTGTTCTCCTTAACCAAATTATTTATTTTGACTAATAAAAATTAAATCTGCTTTTCCTTAATTTAGGACACCAGTTAATTGGAAAATATGTGAAGTTATCTTTTAGGAAATACTAAGGAACGGCACTTCCTATACAGGAAAAAATAGTTCTGTTAGGCACCAAAGCAAAAAGATTATTTGAAAATTAAGATGATTTTAGGGGACTGCCACATTTTTTTGAAACATTAAAGCCAGAGGTTCAAAATAAACAAAAAAGGATGACATAGGCATAATATCTGGATAACTAAAAGATGTTAAATCATAACAATACTTCTTAAAATGATCAATGAAATGAGTTCTTTAAACTCAAATGAAACGTTATCCTTAATGTTTATAGTCTTTGAAAGCATGATTCTAAATTGTTACTAAAGTGATAGTACCACAGGAAAATAAATGTTCTGGTCACAAACGATGTCTGTCACGTACTGCATCTTCCAGAACAGGAAATACGGGGTTTTCTCCTTTGGAATCTTAGTGGGCAATTTTCTAATAATGCTTATCCTTTCATATATTAAACAAGGTTCAAGATGTAGATGTCACAACTTACTTTAAAACGCATATTACTAATAAAACTGCTCAAGGAATAGCATTAGTAAATTAGAAACATCTCCCTGACATAGCTCGCAAATAAACTATACATATATACATAATATACAAATATACATATGTGTGTGTGTGTGTGTGTGTATACATATACGCATATATATATATATATATACCAAAAAACAGTCCTGACTCATAGGGACCCCTCCTTGGGTTTCCAGGGTGGTATGTCTAAGGAATCGGAAGGAAGCTTGGGCAATCCTACTTCCATAGTGATACTGCCTCGGAAACCCTTAGGCACTATGCTACCAGAGCTCCTAACATCAACTTTTCTGAAGTGAATCTGGTATTTTCAAACCACTGTCTGTGGAGGGGTCAGTGGATAAATACACCTAAAGCTTAAAATCCAACAGCTTATCACATGAAACATTTTTTGAAAAAAATCCAGAACCTGTAGATTTATTACAAAACTTTTTGAGAGCTAGACAAATTTGAGTTACTGCTCTTTATTACAGCTGTAGAGTTCTGAACCTTTTTTGTGTATCACGACCCCACTTTTGCAATTTGGTGAAGCCTCTGGCCCTTTTTGCTGAATTTTATTATTAAATAGGTTAAAAAAAAAAAGATTCACATAACATCAAATATGTTGTTGTTGTTATGTGCCCTTGAGTTGGACCCTACTCAACTGACCCATCCTTGGGTTTCCGAGGCGGTATCACTACTGAAGTAGATTGCCCAACCTTCCTTCCGAGGAATGGCTGGTGGGTTTGAACCGCCAGCCTTCTGGTTAGCAGTCAAGTGCCTTAGGCACTATGCTACCAGAGCTCCTAACATCAAGTATATTAAAAGTTATAAAAAATAAAGTTGTAATATATTTATATTACTTCTCTATTGCATTAAAGAACAAAACCAGTCTTGCGGAATAGGAATAATTACTGAAATTTTGAAGAAATGAGCATAAATATATTTCTGGATGTCTGCAACAAATGTAATGTGATAGAAAATATTTGCCATTTCTATTGATGACAAAGGAGTCCCTGTGTGATGCAGACTGCTAAGGTGTTCCACTTCTAATGGAAAGGTTGGGGGTTCCAGTCCAACTAGAGGTGACTCAGAAAAAATACCTGGCCATCTACTTGAGAAAAACCAAGGAAAACCCCATGAAAATCCTACAGAGCATAGATCTACTGTGACACACATGACGCTGCCATGAATCAGACTCCACTCCATGGCAATTGGTTAATTGGTGAGTTATTGATAACAACTTCACAAATATGCTGTAAATTGTAGCCTATATTCATAATTAAAGTAAATGTAAGCTTTTTAGGTAAAGTTCAGCAAAAATAATGTTGTATGTTTCTTTCCATCCAAGTTCACAGACCACCCAAATTCTATCTCTATGAACCTCCATTTAAGAACTCTTACTTTCATAATTTACCAAAAAAGAAGTTATCTAGGAGCATCTGTATATGAAAACAGCACATCTTGCTATACAATCTTCACTAAACTCAACAATCAAGTTCTTTTTAACATTTCTTCAACCCAGGGTTAAAACCAGTCTTTGATCTTTCCCCATCATCGACGGAAGGATTAGCCAATTGTATCAGAGCTACAAGATAGACTCACTTTTCCTTTAAATGTATCATTCTTACCAATCCTAAAAGCTGTCTCCGTAATCTTAGTCTAAAATCGCCACATCTTTCAAATTTCTACACCATACATCAATTACAATGACTAACATCTGGCTAACAACTTAGAACCTATTAACTAGATCACAGAACTTAAGAAGTAATTCCCTACCTTCCACAACACAGTAACTTACGTCATCGGGAGATATTTTTAAAGAAGTAAGAAAAATCAGAAAAGGGGGCCCTTCGTGGAACCCTTTTCTAAAACTTTGCACTACTTTTAAGTCTCAGTTCTCTGTAACCGACTCGCTCCAGGCCTAGCCAGTCTCGCAGTCCCGTGACTGGTGTGCTAGAGCGAGAAAGGCGGACAACAGACGAGGGTACCCGAAGGAGGAGCTCGCCGGGAGCAGGGGGCCGAGGTGGGAGGACTCTGCTGTCCAGGCCCTCGCCCTCCACAACGGCCCGGCCCGCTCGGCCTCTATCCACCCGGTCCCCGACCCGGCCGCCCATCCCCGACTGGCACCCCTGCCCGTCCGTCCCCGACAGAGAAGTCACCTGAAATGACCGGCCAGCGAGCAGCGGCAGCACCACACCGGCATGGAGCGCTGTTCGCCGGACGCCCGAGCGCAGCCGCCCCCGCCCTCGCCTCCCCCGGTGGGGCTGCCCGCTCTCAGCGCCCGCTCGCTCCGGGTAGTGGAGTCTGCGGGACGTCCTCGCCCCGCGCCTCGCCGTGGCCGCGGCTGCCCGGAAACTGCAGCTCGGCAGCCTGCCGCGTTTCGGAGCGCCGGAGTCCGCCTCCGAGGCAGCGGCTTCCGCTCCTCGCCTGCGGGGAGCCAGGCGCCGGCGGCGGGTGATCTCGGGGCTCCGCGATGGGGGCGGAGCAGGACGGGGACGCTGGTACGGCGGCGGCGGTGGTGCGCGGGCTCCTCCTCGCAGGTGCGCGGCGGCGGGCGAGGCTCGCGATTGGTGGAGCTGCGGCCCGGCGAGGGGCCGGGTCTGATGGAGCTGAGGCTGCATGGGGCTGAGGCAGGGGGTCGGCCGGCCAACTGGACCGCAGCGGCGGCGGTGGAGAGCGGATTGCCGCGTCTCAGCTTGCACTCCTCGGCCCCTCCGCATGCGCCCGACACGCAGCGAGGCGGCTAGCAAGGCCGAGCTGGCGGATGCGCTCCGAAAGGGCAAAGTGATGAATAGAATGGAAGGAGCTGCTAACCTGGGCTAGTGGGACGGCGTGGGGGAAATCCCTGCGTACGGCGCAGCCTCTGCGACCCGAGCACCCTGTTGTCGCCTGAGTCTGCCAATGCAGACCTCCAAGTCGAGCTTCCCACTCCCTGGGAACCTACCTTCTTGAATATTCTCGCGCTGCCCGGGATGCAGATGTACAGAGCCCTCGTGTGCTTTGCGCTTTTGATCCTGCATCGCAGTCCTCTAGGGGAGCTCGCCAAAGCACAGGTGCCCAGTGCCACCCCTAAAGGTTCTGACTACAGAATGAAGTTAGCTTCTTAAGTTAAAAAAAAAAACCTCACTGCCGTCGAGTCGAATCTGACTCGTAGCGACCCCTCCTTGGGTTTCCGAAGCCGTATCTCTACAGAAGTAGATTCCTTCCAAAGAGTGGCCTGTGGATTTGAACCGCCAACCATTTGGTTAGCAATCAAAAGGCTTAGGCATTAAGCCACCAGAGTTTCTCTTCTCTAAGTAAGCAGCTCTCAAATATTGAAGAATGTGTGAATCACTTGCAGCTCTGGTCAAGAATCCTAACTCTGCCTTTCCCCAAACTTACGAGTCAGTTTACGAAAGGAGAAGGAGCTGGGACGCGTATTTTTTAAGTCCCTATAGATGATTATGATATAATTGCTAGTTAGAGAAACACTAATAGTGAGTGTCCCTATTCAATGTTTGTCAAAAATTAAAAGGAAAATAATAATATTAATAATAAGAGAAGGGATTGATTGCATGTACTGTTTTATAAAGATGTTTCCATCTCCCCCAAGCCCTGAGTGCTTGTGCACCTAAAATATATAAAAGTCTTTATTTTTTCCAATATAGTTTTAAAAAAATATTTCTTAGATTTTTCTCAGTGTTTGTCATTGAACAAACTTATAATGTACAGGTATTTTAAATTCTGTGGAACATAAACGAAAATAGTGGGGTTCTCTCTCTCCTGGGTTATACAATAAGAGAGCATATTTACCATTTTAAAAATTCTATTTTTCTTTTCTTGGAACTACTGACAGTTTGACATGTTCATTTTACTTTAATACTTATTTCTAAAGTAAAGCATGTGGTTACTTTTCTGTTAACATTCATAACATTATCCTTTTGAACGACCTGAATTTCTGAAAGGGTATGCCAAGCCAATCTAGACAATCTAATATCTGACACTTTAAGAATGTGTAATTTGCAAGTATTTTGTACATAATTGTGTGGCTTTGCTTTCACTTTTAGTTTTCTTACGTATTTATGGACCCAATAATAAAGTAGGTATATCAAATTTTAGGCTTAACCTGGTTTATTTTGAAAACTTATGAACTTGCTACATTGCTCGTAGTATACCCTTGAGAATATCTTGTGATAAACCAGGCAACGATGACTATATAGATTTGTTTTCTTAATGCAAATGAGGCATATCAGTGTTTCCTTATTTTTATTTTGAAATTTTAGGTAACATCTTATTTAAATATGAAACTCAAGGCTGATGAGGCTGTGGGGAAACAGACATTCAAACGCCACCAGTGGGTATGTATGTAAACTGGTATGTAATTCCAAAACTCTAGAAGTCTCACATTCCCCACCAGCATCATAGGACCTCAGTCCTCCTTTCAGTGCCCCCACAGTATATTTAGAGGGGGGCTTATACTAGAAACTATGCCGGTGCCTGGTGCCTTCTGGGCTTCCAGCATCACATAGTTACAAAATCCTAACTGAACAACTTTTCTTACTGGTATATAACACATCAGTAAAGAGGACCTTCAGGAGCTTTGGTAGCGTAGTGCCTAAGGCATTTGACTGCTAACCAGAAGGCTGGCAATTCAAACCCACCAGCCACTCCTCGGAAGGAAGGTTGGGCAATCTACTTCCATAGAGATACCATCTCAGAAACCCAAGGAGGGGTCGCCATGAGTCAGATATAACTCGACAGCCGTGGGTTTGGTTTGGTTTAAGAGGACCTTCTATGTTGTTATCTTACTCTGCCAGCTGTGAGATCTTGGGCAAGTTGCTTAGCATCTCCGGGCATCACAGAGTTCATTCTCCCACAACAGAAATCCATTCTCTTGGGCAATCCTACTTCCGTAGTGATACTGCCTCGGAAACCCAAGGAGGGGTCATTATGAGTCGGGGCCGACTCGACGGCACATAACAACAACAGCAACGACAGTGTTCAAAGTGACATCTTTGCACCTTGACACTTTAAAGAGATCTTTTGCAGCAGATTTTCCCAGTGCAGTATGACGTCTGATTTCCTGACTGCTGCTTCCCTGTGTACTGATTGTGGATCCAAGTGAAATGAAATCCCTAACAACTTCAGTCTCTTCTCTGTTATCATGATGTTGCTTATTGGTCCAGGCATAGATTATTTTATATATATTGTAATCCATACTGCAGACTGTAGTTTTTAATCTTCATCAGTAAGTTCTTCAAGTCATCTTCACTTTCAGCAAACAAAGTTGTGTCATCTGCATATCTCAGGTTGTTAATGGTTCTTCCTCCAGTCCTGATGCCACATTCTTCTTCATATAGTCCAGCTTCTTGGATTATTTACTCAGCACACAGATTGAATACATATAGCAAAAATATACAACCCTGATACACACCCTTCCTGATTTTAATCCATGCAGTATCCTCTTGTTCTGTTCAGACTACAGCTTCTTGGTCTATGTACAGGTTCCTCATGAGAACAATCAAATGTTCTGGAGTTCCCATTCTTCACAGTGTTATCCATAATTTGATCTACACAGTCAAATGCCTTTGCATAGTCAATAAAACACAGGAAGACATCTTTCTGGTATTTTTTACTTTCAACTGAGATCCATTTGATATGAGCAATGATATCCCTCGTTCCATCTCCTCTTCTCAATCCATCTTGCATATTTGGAAGTTCTCTGTCAATATAGTCCACAACCATTTTTGAATTATCTTTAGCAAGATTTTACTTGTGTGTGGTGTTAATGATATTGTTCAATAACATCCACGTTCTGTTGAATCACTTTTCTTTGGAATGGGCGCAAATGTCAGTCTCTTCCAGTCAGTTGGCCAGGTAGCTGTCTTCCAAATTTTTTGGCATAAACTAGTAAGCACCCCCAGTGCTGCATCTGTTTGTTGAAACTTCTCAGTGGGTATTCCATCAATTCTGGAGCCTTGTTTTTTGCCAATTCCTTCATTGCAGCTTGCATTTCTTTCTTCAGTACTATTATTGGTTCTTGATCATATGGTACCTCCTGAAATATGTACCACTAAAGCCAAGGAAGGTTGGGCAATCCTACTTCCGTAGTGATAACTGCCTTGGAAACCCAAGGAGGGGTCGCTATGAGTCGGGGCCGACTCGATGGCATATAACAACAACAACAACAAAGCCAAAGAGGAACAAATTAAAGATTTTTACTAGCTTCTGCAGTCTGAAATTGGCAAAACATGCAATCAAGATGTGTTCATAACTATTAGTGATTGCGATGTGAAAGTTGGAAACAATGAAGAATCAAAGGTAGTTGGAAAATATGGCATTGATGATAGAAATGATTCTGGGGATCACATGACTTATTCATTGCAAACATGTTTTCTCAACAACATAAATTATGGCTCCAAATGTGGACCTTGCCAAATGCAATACACAGAAATCAGATCACCTACTTCTGTGGAAAAAGGCAATGGAGAAGCTCAATATCATTCGTCAAAACAAAGCCAGGAGACACAGACCCTCTTCAACAAAGACAAGGGAAACCAATTGACACAGACACAGAGATAATCTTGGACCCCTGAGCCTTGAAGGGAAGGATACAGAAGTAGACTAAACCCCAACTAGCAGAAGAATTTGTGTGAAAATACCAAAAAAGGAGACATACGGAGCTGCGGTCTGGCAGGGACCTGAACGCCCCTGACGGCACAAACGGCTTGGACATTCCCAAGTGGT